CTGAAGTGGAGACGACCCACCTTGGGGCAGGTGGTGACCAAGCAATTTTGGAGTGCTAGTTAAGTTTGTTTCTCAAACTGCCAGTAGACCAAGAGAGCCCCAACAGTGGATTTGCCCCCCAACACTGCGTAGAACGCAAAAGACACTCAGATGGGTGGTCTAGTAAACCTTGCTTCCCCAAACACTCCACAAGACTGTCATACCTGGATCTTCCAACTATATATTTGTTTCTGCCTTTTGGATCCTTTTGGTTGGTTTTATGGATGACAAGGTAGACATTTTGCATGGGTGGAAGGTCTAGCTATGAAACGCGACATTGTGGCCACGGGAAAAAACACTAGAAATCACTCAAGCAGTGTGCTATCTATCACTCATTGAGCCCGGAAGAAGGATTAATGACAACTCACTGGTTAGATGATCCTCAACATCTTAATTACCGACTCCCTCAGTTTCCTTTGAACATGAAGGCTAACACAGGTTAACTTCTGTTTGTGAGGAAGCCCATCTCCAACAAAAGGTCAGAGGTTATCCACTATATCTGTGTATACAGGGTTATGCAGTGCAGTTATGCAGGTATATGGCAAAACAAAGCCAACACACAAAGAAAACACAAACCAAAACGACTGGGAGAACTCCAGTTCCCCAAACGTTCCGACTCTGACTGATTGAACCCTCTTCCCTCAACCTGAAAACGCCATGTTCAAGGCACGTTGGCCACAAAGATACGGATCTCGTCCATCCAAGGTATAGAGTACCTTGACCTTTGAACCTTTGGCCGCATCCTCCTCGCCCACCTCGGCAGATCATCGCGCAGGTTGGCAGTGAACTGCCGTTTCAATGCGTTCCGGTTCTGGTGCTCCCGCGTTTGCGCTGGCCAAGTGAGTCCCCGAACCGAAGCTGGATGGATGATCTTTCAACCGCCCCCCAGTCCAAAAGGATGTGTAAAACCTCTTCCAGGACACGAAACAAGAACCAGGGCTCCCAAAGATTCCCGAAATGCAAACGACTTAAAAGGTCGCAGCTGGTCACCTGTGGAGGCGGGTGCAAATTCAGTTCACTTGTGGAAGGATTTGTCCTCAAGATTCGACCATGAACTTACTTTCTGAACCATACTGAACCCTAAGGATCCGCACCCTCAAAAAGGCACGGCTTTTGGGTTCGGCGCCCCTGCCACCCACCCACCCTTGTGAACGATCGAGGCTTCGACCCCGACCGCCATGGAGGGTTCGGATATGTGCGGATCCTTCGGGATACTTCAAGCGGGATCCAAGTACCTTCTCAGAAGGTACGACTGGACCCTCCAAACCTACATAACAGTGCCTCCAATCACCTTCTGAGAAGGTACTTGGATCCCTAGGGCTTGAAGTATCCCGTGGTCGCTCCGACCACTTTGGCGCCGGGGCTGCCGACTCGCACCGGGTGAACCCACGGGTCGTCGTTCACCCCCGACGATGGCAGAGGGTTCTCCGGTGAAGCCACGGGTCCCGTGGGGTGCTTGATATGGTGACCTCGCACCGCATTTGATGGGCGACTCATGGACTCATCATGGTGGAAGCGGATGGAAACGACCAAACCGGTGGTGCCATCCACATAAGCATGATTCCACGGAGTCTAAACACTCTTGGAGTACTCCAGTTCGCAGGGTGGGCCTGATCGAAAAGCAAGAATCCGGACACAAACCAAACCTTTTCCATTGCTTCGGGCCTAGACCCTTATCGGGCACCCCGTTTCGCCCTGGTGCTAATCCCCACGCAGGGTCCCAAAACCTCCTGCACACGTTTCGTTTTGTTTATTTTCCCCCAGCTCAGCACTCTCAAGCTTCATCTTTGAAGTTATACAATTCGCCTTCGAATTCAAAGCCCAACTATACTCCGCTACCCAAATGGTTTGAAGAGGGGGCGCAGGCGGGCGCAGGGCGCAGGGCGTCGAACCCAAGAGCTTTGGGTCTTCATCTTTTTTGGTTCGACCATGGGACGGGACATGTCACCTGTCTTTCCATCCAAAGCTACCCATAGCCAGCTGCCCTCACATAGCTGCCCCACATGAAAAGCAGAATTGATGGTAAATTCAACATGTTTCAACTCACTTGACACACATTAGTCAGTGGGCTCAATCATCCCAAGTAAAGGTTGGAAATAGGTTGGAACCAAAATTATCATGCAAATGTCAAAGATTTGGTAAATATGACCGGGGAATCTAAGACAAGTCATGACAAGTCTCTATAAAAAAAGAAACTGATATATCAGTACCCAACCCGTGGCATTCTGTAGAGGATACAGGCAGGTTCACCAAAATGACCACTTGACATCACTTGACCCAGCCAGCGGAGGTCCCTCTGCCCCACTTACTGGTCGACTGCCGCGCCGAGGGGCCAAGATGCTGACCTTCCTGCCGACGGGCTGTGGCGACGGGCTGTGGGGGCCGGAGTTCGGAGGGGGCGCCGTGCGGCGACCGTCTGAAACAGAGCACCGCCATACAGCTTGGCATGTGAAGAAACCTGGAGCAGCAGGGTCTCCAGCTTCTTGCTTGCGCCTTTTGAGTTTGTATAATTATGTTTTGTGGTGGCCGCTGAGACCTTCACCGGACCTTCACAGCCCTTAAAAAGTGAGTGCACTGTGGAGCACCTGCTGTGGAGCACCTGGCGGTGTTCGAGAAAGTGTTGGGTTTGGAAGATCTGAGAACATCCTCGGCAGACTGGTGCCTAACACAACCATCACTCGGCTGGAGGGAGGGGGACGGAATTGCTGTGCTGGGAGGGACCCAGCACCTGTGCTTTGTCCTGCTCATAGGCCATCAAGACTGCTCCGGTCAAAGGATTTTTCCGAATTTTGGCTCGAATTCGGAGAGGCCTCCGCCCTGTGTCGCACAAAGAAAACGGAGAGGCCTCCGCCCTCTCCTCAGGTTGTCCAAAGCACCCTGCCATCTCTGCTCAAGGAGAGACCTCCAATGATCACTGGCCAGCTGGCAGGCCCTTGCAGACACCTCTGCTTCAGGTCATAGTTAGGAAGACAGTGGAAGGTCCAGGAGCTTGTAGAAAAGGTCAACCTGCCAAACCAAGACATCTGGATGGCCCCTCCCTTCCACATGCTGTCCCAAGCTCCACAGGCCACATGGAGCTGTTGAACGTGTGGTCACTTCTCTGGCTCTGCATGGGTCTTCCAGGCTGCTTTGCCAGCCGAGAGAACACAGTCCGGGTTGTTTGGGAAGCAATTGAACACATACCCTGCCGCAATCTCGCTTGGAAACTGCAACATCATGATTTCAGTCTCTGCAGCACTTCGCAAAAGCGGCATCGTCGATCTTCCCAACATATAATCTCTTGATTTAAGAAAATGTCAGTGACAGAATTCTCAATCACTCTGCTCCTTTGATGACTGCGCTTGATGTACATCACACGACGGATTCTCCGACCGTCATTGGCCACTCCGCCCCACACAAAGCATGTCCTTGAATTGCCCCTGCTCACATGGAGCAATTCTGATGACTCTTTCAACTCCAGCAGTCTGAATTGACTGAACTGCGGACCAACCTCAAGACCTTAAACCCGATACACTATGATACACTGTTTGGGGTCTCTTGCCGGTCGCAGAATCCCGTTCGCCGAACCCGAGAAGACCCTGAAAAGAGTTCGGGAACGACCTTGTGTTGTAAAACCATGGTTCTTTAAAGACCATTACAGGGCAAGGAATCGCATCTGTTAAGGAACATGGGACCAAACATAAGACACATTCCTGCATTCATCCACAACAATCCGTGAGACTGGACTATTAACCAGTGCATTGACCCTTAAAATTAAATCCTTGAACGCATCATTGAAACCACTCTGTAGCTAAATATGCCATACATGGATGGTTGCGATGGTTAATTCGGCAACATCAAACATCGCCCTACGTTTCCTGAGTGGGGAAATCCCCAAGCGGATCTAGGATCTACGAACGGAGCTACTAGGGCATCGCTACTAGTAACAAAGGGCATGACTACTAGTAAGGGAAGAGCTATGGCTACCTGGGTCATGCTGTGGTGTCCTGGCTAGACTACCCAGGCTGCTAGACTGGACCTCCAGACAGGACACCCAGGCGGTATGATCGTAGTTGATCCACTGAGGTCGACGGAAACAACCACCCAGGTCCGATCCTCAAACTTGGCTTGGATTTGCTGAAGGAACCTGGAAAAACAGCCCACAAATCGAACAAATACCTACCCAAAGGGTATTTCACCCAGTTCGGGAACATCACCAATCACCGAAGTCTGCGCCAAACCCAGTGGAATCGTTCGTCTCTCCTCGGCTGTGCAAAGGCGCCGCCCTCCGGCAGAATCTTCGGTGCGGCGAGCTTGCAGTCCTCGTGGACGGGACGACGGGTCGAAACGCTCACGGCCGGTGACCTCCTCGTTCGTCGGGTTGGCGAGACGACGCACGACGGGAAGATTTGCCTACAACAGTCCCTATAGGGATCCAAGCGTACCGAACCTCAGAAGGTACGACTGGACCCTACTGGCACCTACATAGCCGTGTCGAACACATCACCTGCTGAGAAGGTACTTGGATCCCTAGGGAGGATCCGGTCGTGCCTCCTCAAAAGGTACGACTGGACCCTCCTGGCACCCACCCCAGTCCCACCTTCGAGGGTACTTATGGATCCTGGATTAGTAAGACCCTAAATGTTCATGATCGAAAAAAGTCCAGTCCTGTCGTGGAGATTTTGGAGCTTGTTCCGCGACGCTCACGGGTTTTTTCGAGGCTCAGTCAGCACTCAAAACACAGGACGTTCTCTCCACCAAACTGAAGGGCAGCGTGCCGTCTCCAAGTCCACCGCGTGCAGAACTTGGATTTGCTGTTCAGGAACCGGGAAGAGATTTTCTGAGGATTTCACCCAGTTCGGACGAAATCACCCGAAAACCCCCAACCCCAAGCGATTCGGCAGAACACGCACCGTCGGAGTCAAATCCTCACATGGTGTTCCGCCAAAAACAACAAGCAGTTACCCAGCACCCCCTGCTTCTTAACGTTTCGCGACGGGCCGACCTCGGCTGCGCCCCGTCCCGTCCCGCCGTCCCGCGCTCTCCTCCGGCTTCACGGTGCCCTCCAACGCGAAGGTCCCGGCGGGTGCCGGGCCGAAGCCCGCGCGGAGCAGCGCCCGCGCGGCGGCGTTGTGCTTCACGCGGAGGGCCTGGAGACGGAGGCGTCGGAGCTGGGTCTGGGAGTGCAGGTGGCGAGGTGGGTGGCCGTGGAGATGGAAGGGGGGAAGGTAAAATGGTTTCCTATAGAAGTCGATGACCTCATTTTCTTTGTGAAGGTGGTCATACCAAAACAATCCTAACACTAATTACTCAAGGAGGGGGGTTCACCAGGTTTCACTAGGTCTAGACTTGTAGAGGTTGTAGAGTACGTGGCGGAAAGAGTACGTGGCGGTTTTCTGAGTTGGTCATTTGCAAAACACTCCTCAATGAGGCTTTCAGGACCAGGTCTGGACCTGGGTCAGACTGAACCTGGTTCGTCCCTTGCAGTCCTAAAACTCGTCCCACCCCGTGCGGGGCACTGCCTCTTTCAATGCTCGACCACCGTCATTCTTGTCCTGGAACCAGCTCGACCGATCCGTCGCGTCCGCCGCGACGTGGAACACGCGGAACTCGGCCGATCCGTCGCCGCGTCGGAGCGAAGTTCGAACGCTGTAGAACATCCGTGATTTGATTCCGTCCATGGGGTATAACCCATCTTCACCAAAAAAAAGGGGTTGGGTAGGTTGTTGGTATAGGGAAAGGATGAGGAAGTGACGCCTCCCAAGCCTTATTGCAAGCCTGATCACTTTGAAGAAGCTGGTAGGTCCTGTTTGTTGCTGCCTGCCTGTGGTCATGGTGATTGTTTGAGGATGCTGGCTTGAGCAGCCACCATGCTAACGCATGCAAGTCGTCTCGACCTCCTCACGTCACCTTTCTAAACCCAGGGCGGGTTTTCCAGAGTGCATCTTTGAACGGTTCGCAGCACTTCCTCAATGCCATGTCTTTTGTGCAGTTTTTTCCGCCCATTCGCAGCTCTCTTGCAGGTTTCTTCCATTTTCTGATCAATCAATGTGCGAAAGGTTCCAATCAAAGCATCAGGCGGTCCTACCTCAATGGTTTCGACAACACTCTCGATTGAATATATTGATTATTCATTGATATTAGTTGCATCCTATTCATTAAACTGTCCTACATGCATTTTATTGCATGTCATGTCATGTCATTTCATGCATGCACCCAATATCATCCAATGATTCACGCAAACTTTTGAGTGAAACCACCTTGTGAGAGCAAACCTTGAGAGATATTTTGTGTGGCAGAAAGTCATTTCATGATTTTCATGTCATTTCATTTCATTCATTCAATCAAACAGCCCGTCATCGTTCCTACTCCATCTTTCACTTTTTCCTTCTCCCGCTACCTCTCTGCCTTTCTACCTTTCTTCCTTTCTTTTTTTCTGTCTGTCTTTCTGTCTTTCTTTCTTTTCTGTATTTTTTTCTCTCTGTGTGTCTCTCTCTCCAAGAAGGTGCATGGACGAAACACATGGCGCTGCTGATTGTTCTGGAAGAACAAATCCCATCATCACGCTTTTGCTCATAGCTTCCTGCCCATCTCGAGCACAGCGTTGCGGGTACACCTTGAAGGCTTCACAAAACATGTTTGCATTGGTGCTCATGGTACGAACAACCGTGTCAGTCTTCTCAAATAGTAGTCCTTAGGGCTTGGTGGTGTCTTGGCCTCGTCATCGTACGAGGTGCTGCCACTTCTCGCCCTTGGCCTTGTCCCTCTTTTCGATGACACCAGTTTCTTCAACACTTCTTGTGCGTCAGCGGAATCTGCCAATGGTGCACAGGCAACGAAGTCTTTGTTGACTTGGACTCATCATCATAACAACTATTAAGAACTTATTGAGCCTGCCGCAAAATGATCCCAGTGAACCAACTATATAGCCCTATTTATGGAACTGCAAGCCATGCAGTGGATGTCTGTCTTTGGTGGGAACTCCAGACTTTGTCCTTGTGCGAAACATGCTCTTGTCAAAGCACATCGCTGCAGGAGTCACCAGAACATCAGAAGTTGGCAGCTAGAAGTTTCAGGCAGATCTTCATTCAGCCTGTTTATTCAGGATGTTTCATTCAGCCTGTTCTTTCAAACAACTAGAAGTTTTGGCATCTTCATTCAGGATTTGAGAGCGGTTCCCTCTCGCTGTGTCTGCAGCCGTTCCCGGCCCTACCTCTTGGGTATTGCGCACCCCAAAATGAGACCGAACTCGATCTTGTCAATCGTGAATGAACCATCAACCTCTGAAATAAGACGTGATCAGCTGTCAATCGTCAAGTGGAAACCAAGCACGAGGGGTTTTGAGCTTTATTGCAATCTTAGCCGCACAGATACCTATAACGTAGCTCTCGGAACGTGCCAACAGAGGTTGAAGAACCCTAAAACGATCTATAGTCTATCCCAGATCAGTACCTCAGGTAACCGGTCCTTTTCCAGGTCAACAAATCTCTCTTGGATGACAAGGTCTCAATCAAGCTAGTAGCCCTATGGATCCACATACCGAACCTGAGGTACGGTGATGTGTTCGACTATTTAGGCGCCATTGTCGGGTCCCAGTCGTACCGAACCCGGTCGGTACGGTGGCAGTGGATCCATGAGGTAGGTAGTTGGAGGCCATCGCTATTAAACCATGCTCCGCCCACACCGGTGGACCCCACATCGCCCGCACGGATCGAAACTCCTCCTTGGCCCCCTTCCTCGGAGACACAAACCGTGCCGTCTTCGGACCGTGCTGGTGCATGAAATCAACTCCTCATAGAATGGAACTCCCAACCATTCATGGACTGAAGACCGAAGATCCCTGATATTTTTCACTACAAAACCATCTCTACCTTTTTGTTCATGAACTTGGAAGGCCAGGGAGGTGATCATGGATCTCTTGGATTCTTGGGAAGGTGAAGGTGTGGGAAAATGAGAATCCTTCATTAGAATGCATGAGCAGCCATGAAACATACATTCATGAAATCGTTTTCCTCTGATTATTCTGGGAGGATGCCCTTCTCTCCCAAATAATGGTCTGTCTGATGTATGACCAGGGCCCAGTGGATGATGACCTGGATTTGGTTGAGAAACCGGGAAAATAACACAAATTCGGTATTCCCAGAAAAGGATTCATCTATATGGAAAATATGAAAACATAACCCTAAACAACACCATGATGGTTAGCAAAGGCATTTCCTCCAAATAGTATCAAATAGTGAAAATTGTTTACTGACTGTAACTGCTAACGGGACACACCCTATCCGAAAGTCGGGTCCAAAAACATATCTAGGGTCATCATCCCCGCGAATGCACCAATCAAACCCAAACGTTCCATGGTGGGTGCCCATATGGGGCTGACAATTTTTATACAGGATTGTGAAGTATTTTGGCGGATTTTTTCTAGGAACGCTTTCATATGGTGATGCAGGGTACCTGGTGGTTTTGGTTTGGTTTTAACGAGGTCCTTTGGATTGTGGGCGGGTTTTCTTCGGTTGAATCTTCTGCGCTGTTGCAGTAGCCGGATGAATCGTGCTTTCGTTGTTGAGGGGCTGTCATAAGGAACTGCTGAGGTAAACAAGATTCAACCCACCTAAGAGCCCCTACTGCAGCACACGCACGCATTGATCACAGTGACCTGTGGACCAGGCACCAGACGCATATTGCAGTTGTACTCAAGATGTCGGAACTACTCAACACCTGTATCACCTATACCTGCACACCTGTGTCTCAATACCTGTATCCAAAGAAGAGAAGGAGAAGGAGAAGGAGAAGGAGAAGGAGAAGGAGAAGGAGAAGGAGA